GTTTTTGGGGCCGACCTTTTCTAACCCGTCCTTCCTCAGGGGAAGGCAGCATCGCTGCTTCCATAAATATGGACATGCTGGTGGCCTGGGGGAAACACCTTACTGCCTTCACACTCCTGTCGCAGCGGACAGTACGACTTTACCCCAAGACCGCCCCGTACCACGATTGCTCGTAGTGCGGGATCTCGCTGCTCCCCTTTGGCCTTCCTGGCATGGTTGTACCTTGTGGAACGAAGTTCCAGCCAGTGTAGCCCGCGGGATCATTGCAGCACTCAAGCCCGACCACCACGTCAAGGTCGCAGCTTTAGGTCGCAAACTTTCGCAAACTGCAAGGTTATGCTTCGGAACATGTAGCCACTGAACATGTCACTTACAACTCAAGAAAATGCACTCTAAATTGTTGGGCGTTTTACGTATCATGGAGGTTGTATTTGTTCCGATAGTAATGTGATGGATGAGGTCAGTGCACTGGTGGTGTTTGCTAAGTTCAGAAACTTATGGCGTCAAATCGACATATCCCTGACTCTCAAGAGACATCTGTATCAGGCTACAGTACAGGCAGTTTTTTGCACGGCTGTGAGACGTGGTCTCTTCGGGCAGCGGAATCAGGACGCTTTTAGGTTTTTAGCCACCGTAGTTCCCGAACAATAGCTCGAATGGGTTGGTGTCGGTGAATCCGTAACAATTAGAAAACAGGCGTTCAGTGGTGGAACCGGAACTTCAATCGAAAAATGTGTCCAGAACTAGAAGCTGCGGTATTAGGGTCATGTATTGCGCATGGAGAACCATCGTTCACCGAAGAAAGTGCTGTCACCTTGTCTAATTCGGAATGACGCAATCAGAGCGGCCAACTTCTGACTTAACGGAGTGGTAAGAAAGGGAGTGCGAAAAGTCTGGGTGCTGTCTGTGCTACACGCCTTTCAGGATGGGGACCGCGTGGTTCCCGCTACGCCTGGTTGGAGACGCTGCAAGGTATGGCTGCTAATCGATGTCAGTGGTGTTCCTGTTTTCAGTTTCAATCCACATTGCCTGAATGTGTCTGAAGGTGTAGGTACCTCAAAATGATTGGTGTAGAGTAAGCCTAGTCCATTCCTCATCTACTTCTATTCTTTTCCCGATAATAAGGCTTTCAAATAAATTGTCTGTACGGTAGCAAAGCATCAGTGTTGAACGCTGGTGTTATGCTGTCAATGATGACGGTGACGATGATGATGTTAACGATCGAGATGTTAGGAAGTTGACTAGATATCACCTCAACGAGGGAGACGGACAGGATAGAGGGCATCAATACCAACACATCAAATGATCTTATGTATGCAACTTCTTAAGTATATCACACAGGTGCACAAACCCTGCATCTATCGACTAATTCAGCATCGACACAACTAGGTTCACAGGAACGCTCGAGTCCTACGGTACAGCTTGACATTTTATGCTTCGTAACGGCCACTAATAATAACAGCAATAATAAATAGAGTTCATCACGTATAAGGGAAAGTTAGTAATGTCCGTACGCCTACTGAGTAATACCAGGTAAGTAACACAAGCGTGGTTGCTATTCAAGTTGTGATCGTGTCCTAATGTCTATCACCAAGCCAAATAATATATAGAATGGAGTAAACAATCAGAGTTAGAAACAGAAGAAAGTACAGAAACGCTCAGAACCCTACCTGAGTAGGGCGCTTCATTGGCTGCACTCCAGCTTCTTTGAACAGCCGAATAACCAGCTCAGGACGATTGGATGGAAAGAGAGTTTCTAGGCCATGCACAACCTGTTTTGTTCTAAAACACAATGGAACAAAATGACTAGGATGGGGTTGAGAGACATGCGAAAAAAGATGCTTGTGGTGACTGAAAAATTCATAGCTAGAATGATCAAAAGTGATCATAAAATATACCTTTGTTAGGCACGTCCACGGTGACCCTCATTAGGAGGCTTTACCCCAACTCTCGCGGCCGCATGAAGGTCTAAAGCAAGTTATCGCCTGAGTTCATCAAATCAAGTGGTGTCAGACAAGGCTGTGTTCTCTCACCTTATTTCTTCAACTACGTCGTTGATACGATCACGGAAGATTCACTACCAGCCTCAAATGCCTGTAGGGTCGAAGTTCTCCCGGGGCGTTCGCTCATAGATATCGAGTACGCAGACGACACAGCTCTTCTTGGATCTGATTCCGTGGTAATGCAAACAATATTAAATGATTTAGATAATTCTGCTTCACGGTTTGGCATGCACTTCACATCTGCAAAGTGTAGTGCTAGTGCAAGAGTGGGTAGGCTCGAACCCTAGCCCCATTCTTGCGGATGAGCCGCTTGAAGTAGTAGACAAGTTTGTTTACCTGAGCAGCTGTATCAGTCCGGGTGTTCTAGCGAAACAATATTTCCATCCGGGTTGGGAAGGCCAGAGAAGCTTTTACGAACCTACGCCACTTGTGACGTAAGCGTGACATGAGCTTATCCATCAATGGTGGAGTTTACAATGCTTCAGTGCGATTCATATTGCTATACAGGTTAGAAACCTGGCCGCTGCGTGCCGACGACATCAAAAGATTTCCGGTGTTTGACCATCGATGTCTTCGAAGCATTGCCCGAGTCTGATAGCAACACCGGAGCAGCTATGATGAAGGACGTCGAATGGTATTCAGAAGAAATAACTCGCTTACGATAAATGAATTAATCACACTCCACAGATTGCGCTTAGCCACGTAGTCCATGTAACGGTCGACCGAATTCCTTGATGGGTCCTTTTTGCAGAACCACGCGAAGGGTAAAAACGAGTCAGGGGAGGTTAAACAATCACTTGGCAGAGAAGTGTGAAAGCCATTACCAGCAAACTCAGCTGCGCTGGTCATCGCCGTCTTCCTGGATGGGGACCCCGAGACGGGCCATATCAATGGTTAGAAACATTGTCAGGCATGGTCCGGTCGCCCCCTCAACTGCGCGGTGCATCCAAGCTATTGCCTTCAATGCATACCTACCTTCCTAATCCCCCACTTAAAATTCCACTGACAGGTCTGTATTTACGCGCCAACTTACCAGCCCCCGCCTCCAGTGCGCATTTACCTACCCCACCTCCTCAAAACATCGGTGGACGAAACTGTGGCAGCTACAACTGTATGACAAGTATGCGGTTCGTATAGCTGATAATGATGATGATGTTCTGAAGAAACGAACGACGTAGTAAATAGATACGCAAAATAAGCAAGGAAGTTACTGAAAACGGTACCGTACGGGAACATGGTTGTGTACTTCACTCACGAAAAACATCCAACACTATCACCTGTGATGGCTCGTGCACTTGCCAAACATATCGAAACACCATCCACCGAGACGAGTATTGCCTTCTGTGCGTCCTTCAGAATGGTACATATCTCGGGGTGGGAGATGTTTGACTTGGCAGAATAGTGTGAGATCCCGAAGGATTCACATTCATATCACTTTCGTTTGAACAGTCGTCCGTCTGTCCTGACGCAATTATTCTGGTGAGTTTCCACCAAAAAAAGGGCTAGCACTGGACTCGAGCTTCGCTCATATCACAGTTTGCCACAAGTACACGTATTTGGCAGTGTCGGAGTTTAAACGCGGGCCTTCTGACATATGGAGGCAGTATGTTGCGTGGAGTTTGGGTGTTGTTGGTGTAGTCTGTCTTCTAGGATGGGGTTTTCGTGACACCCCGCGCTTGGCTGCAGACATTGCGGCTGATCGATGCCTGTTGTGCTCGTACTGCCAGTATCCCTCCGGATTACCTGATTAAACGCTTGCGACAGGTCAGGTCCTCCCCATCCATTCTTTTTCTTCTCCCTCCACTTTGAGGCATAATTAAGGTATCTCGACTGGTAGTTAAAGACTGAAGACGAAATTATCGACCTTCAAGAACAGTTCAACCGCTACCATCACAACCTGAGTTGCCAGCATTTCCTTCGCAAAGACATATATGAGTGTGAGGGGAAAATCAAGAGAACTTGAAGCAACACTTCTCTTGACAGGAGCTTATACACAAATTTTTGCATTATTCCTGGATAAATTTGAAACTATACGATCACCCCCAAAGAGGCCACCACGGAAAAAAGAGGGATTCGATTTTTTTTGATGGGGCTATTTTGCGAAGGGGTCACATTAGGTCACCCGTGATTGGAGACATTTCATCCATAGAAAGTGGTCTCACTCACAAAGGGATTACAGTAAATCTAATAGGGTGGGAAATACACTCAAAAAGGCAAGGGATTACCTGAAGTGGAAAGCAGCTCTGACCAATTTTTCTACATAAGGGAACGCAACAGGAATCAAAGGTTGACTGAGCGGTACCAGTCTTACGATGGCTGCATCCACTTGTGGCCTCGGAAGAAACGCTGAACCCCGTATTTCTTCCATGAACTTTACCTAAAAACAAGCACATTGGAATATAAGTCCTAACAACTACATTGGATTGTCATTAAAGAATAGCTTTGACACGACAGGCATTACCGCCATAGGTCTCTGGGTGTTTACCCTAAAATGATCGCGGCCTCTCCGGCGAATCGGGTACGCAAAATGTGCATCTTAGGTGCCAGGGTCCTGCATTCACCATGTGACAGAAGTTACGCACACGAATGTCCAAGCTTCCATTACAATAAATCAAAGGCGTTCCAGACTCCTAGACTGCTGCTTTAATCACATAGCTGAGCACCCCATACAGTCTATTCGTAGTTTATTACCGGAAGTCGTGAACGTCCAGAACGGCAGAGACAAAGTTCGAACAGAACTGGTACAGCAACAAAATATTGAAATGAGTCGAGAAGTTTATTTGGTGCGTCATTCTCTTGTGGCTATATGCGTGAGATACCGGCGATCGAAAAGTGGAACGGAATGGTGAGCCACACAAGACTCCTGTAAAACGGGCTACGATACAAACTCGGGCTACAAGCAAGCTGGATAAAACAACTGGACAAGTCGAAAATAGTTGAGTGACCGTCGGATGCACATCCTCAAACTAAAAGCTACATGACATTAAATTAATCGCCTGCAGCAAATCTCCAAGAAACTTCCAGGATAATTTGTTTTAACCATTAGACCATCACATCATCTCCTATCAGTCAGCTGCAATGAAGTGAGCAGTAACTTTCTTCCCCGGATGGAATGGACGCCTGAATAATGTACAGCGTACGTATAAAATATAAACGGGTAGAAATCAGGGTAAGGAGTAGGGATGAGTACAACTCCCGAAAGAAAGCTCACTTCACAATAAGCTTGCGCCATAATTGAAAGACGTGAGCGCTGTTCATCCCATACATCGGCAACTAGACGTTGGCCGACTTCTTTCTGAAAAGTAAAGATCATGGGAACTCGCCCAAGACGCCAAATGCCACGATGTTCCGATATATCGTGCAGCCAGCGGATAACCAACGGAGTGGAGATGTTGAAAGGCAGGTTACCAATCACGCGCACCCGAGACAGAGGTGGTGGACACGCGAGTGCACCACACGTGGTATCATGTTTTGGAAAATCACCAGACGAGTTAGCCACAGTAGCACCCCAGGATTCTTCAGTTTGACAGGCCTCTATTGGGAAGATGGCCTCTCCGGTGAATTGAAGTATATCCTAATATACCACAAAAAAGAACGAAGGGTTTCAGGGAAGTGTATTATAAGCAAAATTGTGGTTAAACTGTGATATATCTAATGACAGGCATGACAAAGGTATTCATAAAGCATTTGGGACGACAGTGGGTAAAACTGATCGACATTTACCTATTCGTGACAAAAAATGAAACCTTCTCAGATGTGGTCAAGTACAATACTTCAGACGTAATACATTGTGCATAAAGCTGCTGAACAATCTTGGACAGCCCACGACCGGTTTTGCCCTTCTCGAAGCTCATCAGGTAGGCACAATCGCCGAATTTCCGTCGACCTCGTGTTCTTGAATCCAACTTGCATGAAATTCGACTTATACACTCATCTGCACGCCACTTTGGTTTTGACGGTAGACTCAAGTGGAACCCAGCTGAATCCCTCGTTTATGATGCTCTTAAGCAGCTAAATATGTTGCGCCAGGCCGCCTCATGTATTGCGATATCCCGAATATCGTACCAAGTGAAACATGAGGCGGCCTGGTGCAGCATATTCAGTTGCTTAAGAACAGCATAAACGAGAGATTCAGCTGGGTTTCACATAAGTCTCCCGTCAAAATCAAATTAACATGCAGATGAGTGTATAAGTCGAAGTAAACTTTTTTGTTTGTCAATACACATAGCTGCTCGAAAGAATGAATGACATATTAAACTAGAAGTTTTGAGTAACAAAACACACCGTTCCGGATGGTAGTGTTCACCGGTGTGAAAGAAGCAACGGACACCGACCAGCATAAGGGAACCTATTAGTAAGGTATATATAAAGACACGAGTTTAAAGCTACCAACGCGTCTCGAGTGTGGGTTAAGCATACCAATATGCCGAATACCTCAAAACACTGAGGCGTCTTGTGTATGAGTGACCTGAAATTGTCTGACGGAGAATACTGACCGACCTAACATATACTGCGACAGGACAGTTGGCTTTGACGAAACTATGTTTCGATAAGTTAGAGCTGCGGTTGTTTGGCGCGTACGGAGGACTCGATGAACGGGGAAGGTGATGAACGTTAGAGATTGCCTCGGGTGTGGAAGAAAACGAACATACTTGTCGGTATATGTCCATTTTTATGCCCATTTCCGCCGCGGTCATACGCAATTCCTCCAAGCCAGGAATAAATCGCCTATCGACTTCAACGACAGCCAAATGGCGCGGACGGCACTGAAGAATGGTTCGCGTCAATCCACCGGGCCCAGGACCAACCTCCAATACATACGCATTGTGCAATGAACCCGCACATTTGACAAAACTGTTGAGTGAGGCAGGCTGGAGCAGGAAATTCTGGGATAACTGTTTTTGAGCGCGCAGCCCGTAGATACGCAGCACTTCTCGAAGAGAAGGTAGCGGAGGGAAGTGAAGTGGCTGTGAAATGAGAGTAAAAATTCATACTCAGGCTGCAGAAAGGCCAGTAGGAAGTAGTTAAAAACTGCAGGTCGACCAAAAGTGACACCCACACAAACCTCGAACGTCAAGCAAAACAGCATGAAGGAAACTAAAGTGGTTGAGAAAATACTATATGTTTAACAGAGACCACAATTAGTGGTAAAAGCAGTTCTGTTATGAAAGGTAGAGGTATCCCTCGGCAGAACAGGACAAATCCTGCATCGTGTGGTTCTTTGGAAATATCCAACAGTGCGCAAGGTTAAATTTCACCCTTAGTCGGTTCAGAATTACAAACGATATGTGTGTATGGGGTTATGATGCAGCGACCCAAAGGTTTATCATTCACCGCAACGTCTAAATCGGTTGGGGGCTTAATTAATTCATGAGGTGCATAAAACGCCCCATGACTGTTTATAGTGTTTCGAGCTCCAAGCAGAACCTGATTGTAAGCTGAACATATCGTAACAGCCACCTAGCTTCTTCTGAATCTCCCTCCCGAAACAGAAAGTTACCTACGCTGAAAAGCCGAGAAGCATTGTACGGTTGTTTCATTCTTATTGGAATCATCAGCAATGCGCATCTCACGAAACACCGGAGAGTCTCGAACCATCGACCTCCTGGCTAGTAGTTTGAATACTTGATTAACTCGCACTGAGCTACTTATAGACCGTTGGTAGTAGTGGAAGGGTAAACTTCACCCGATGAGTGAAACTTCCATCTGAGAAGTCGTTGCTCGAGAGGTCAGTCAACACGTGTGAGCGCGTGATGTGGATCCCGTGATTGAAGGATGAGTGGCGCGAGTTAATCACATTGCTGATCAGCTGCCCGTAGCCGAAAGGTTAAGTGTTCAAACTACCAGCCAGGAGGTCGCGGGTTTGAGACTCTTCAGAGTTTCGTGGGATGTGCAGTGCTGATGATTCCCAATAAGGATGAAACAGCCTTACAGTGCTTCTCGGCTTTTCAACATAGATCAGCTTGACCTACAGGACAAAATCTCCACAAAAATCCCAAATCTCCTCAAACTACCAACATAAAGTTATATAAAACTGGTAGCATGTAGCAGTGCCTTGCCAGACAAGGTCTGAGCATACTTCTGGTGGTGGTCGTTTATTCACAGCTCCATTTGGAACTGGCATTTCATCGGAAATAACTTATGCTGAAACTGTTGGGTACATTTTATGTTGTTTGCCGACTATTATCTGCTGCCGTCATCGAGCATGCATAGAAAGGCCAGTATGCCTAATAATAAAGCCTGCATGGTGCAAGGCTTCCCAGTTACATTCAACAAGATGAAAGTTTAATGGGTTCTCATTACAAGACATCGTGGAAATGAAGGGGAGATCAAAGGTACCATGCAAGGTTCATATACAGCCAAAATGTTATCATTTTTTAGTTGTTCGTCGTTACCGTCGCATTCTTGTACTTGCTTGCATGAAGGACTGGCAGCTACCATAGACAAAGCCACGCTAAGTTCAACCCGAGGAAGATAGATGAAGGCAAACGCCGGATTTCACTGGTGGGGTCCTTATGAGGTTCACAATACAAAACCCGTTGGATGAGTTATCAGTTCAAATAGAAAAATTATGACAGTGCAACCTACCGTGAATAACCGTCCAGCTGGCTCTCGATTCACGCCTTCATCCTGTAACAAAACGGCCCACACGAGACCCACTCTATGACTGTCCTGTCATACTCAACGGTCATTTACCTATCCAAGAAACGACCCATTTGACTTGGCCTCAGCCTTCGTTACCTGGCAACCCGATTAACATTTCCTGATCCATCTGTTTCTCATTTTCCTACAGAAACCTTTTGTTGTTCACCGCTCTTGCAGCAGTAACGATGTGCCTGGGGGTGAATCCCACCGTACCACTCGAAGCAGTGTTCTCCACGATTACGGCAGGTGCATTCCCTCAGCCTCCAGGGATCAGACCTGCCCCAGGGAGAACACTTTTCACTGCCTGATATTTTTACCAACACGTGACTTATTCTACTCGCTTCCAGCACCATGACGGCCGCAGTCTACAAAACCAGGACGTCTAACCATTCCGCTTCGCGTCGTCCAATTAAATGGCCTCAAAGATGAAGCGCTGAATTTCACCTCTGGCACGTCATCATGCACAACAACACGCAAAGTCGAACGAAGATTTCATGTTCCAATTCGAATAACGATCAGTCAAGAAGACAAGCCATAACGTAACAAAGCGATAGCGGTTGAAAGATAAACCAGCGTCTCGAAGCATGATTGGCGTTTACCCAGCAACCAGTTCTCATAATTTGTAGCCAAGATACAACGCCTTACCACAGCGTTAGCAACCTGAACCAATTCGTCTGAAAATCACGAGTCGGCGTGAATAGAGGGAAGTATTGAGTACAGCGTGTCCAACATTTAACAACCCAATGCTCCTGTTATCGTTTTTAATGCTCATTGACCAATTCGGAGTAGTGCATCTAATACGTATAAGAATTTTAGAGATAAGCCGACAGGTGATTCAAAACTGTCCTAGACCACAGACTCCCTACTCTAGGAGTTTTAGTGTATTCTACGTACTGGGACATGTTGAATCCGTAACAATATGCGCCACGGGCATCACTCCCATTATCCGAGTTCTTCGAGTCATTGCTGACCAAACAGATCCGTCACTAAGAGACTGGACCTTACCGTGGTGTGACGGTTTGCGCACCTCAGCGATCCATTGAGCTATACTGGAGAGTGTCCCGCGACACTCACAGAGTCTCTCATACCAGGTTGGTCAATAGTTAGAGGTCTGATGAACACAGTCCCCTGGCCCTCCAGGTTGGGGGTTGGAACATGTGGCGACTTGTTTCGTAGAAATGGTAATGCATTCGCATTTCCCGCCAAACACCGCTGCCTTGCGGTTAGGCTTTTGAGACAAAGGCTTTGGTTGAGGACCCTAATCGTCCTCCTGTCTAGGTGCGGGCGCCCTGGCAGTATCCCAGCCCACGTACAACCATGAATAGCACATACACAAGTAAACTCATGCCACATCGGCCGTCGCGTGGTGCCATCAGCCGGGTCGCCTTACTTGCTGCATACAGCAGGGCGGGTAAGCGAAAACAGGCTACTGCTGACGCCTCCCTTCTTTCTCCTTCACATACTTTTTCTTCCCCCTCTCCCCACCCCATTAATAACTCTCTCCTTGTAGGCCCAGCACTTAGGACTGATGACTCCGTCCGTCATGCATCGGTTTTGCGTGCAGCATCTGCTCATCACATGGTGCCGACATCTCCAGGCATCTCCAAATCAGTCCTCAAGCCTCGACACCCA